GGCAGGCCACGCGGCGGCGGTCGGTGTCCGCGGAGAACGAACAACGCGATCAGTCGGTACGCGCGCTGCTGTAGCTGGAACGGAGCGCGTGCGCGTGCGGTTACCGCCGGGCAGCAGTCGTAAACGAGCGTGTACCGCCCCGGCACGGTCAGTCCGCGTTCGCGCACCGCAACGAGCACTCGTCCGCCGTGCCAGCATGTACAAGGCGCTGACGTCGCCGTCACCGACGCAGCCGCCGCCGCCGCCACCACCACCGCATTCGTCGTCGCCGAGACCGTTGATCGCCGCCGCCCTAACCGTCAGAATATCGCCCGTGCTCTGACACGACGCGCGCACCGGTCCCGTTGTCCGTTTATCGTTGGCCACCGATCTCGCGCGTCTGACGTTTTTTTTTAAACCGCATCACCACCGTGTCGTCCCCTTTAACCGGTCGTCGGACACCCAATACACCGTTTCGTCGCCGCCGCGGTTGCTCGCGTGCCTCGCGCCACATGCGCGCCGCCCGTCAGTGACCGCCCGCGCGACCATGTGTGTGTTTTTCGCGATACTCATACTGATCCCGGTATGGCATTCCGTGTGCGGCCAGCAGATCCACGGTAACGGTTCGTCGGCCGCGGCCGGGCCACCGCCGCCGTTCAGCTACGACGCACCGGACGACTGCGTGTGGACGGTGCGCGGCGACGGCGACGAGGTGATGTTGGCGTGCACGTTGCGCACCATCAACAGCGAGATGGACACCACCAACTTCTCGGCCATTCCGTCCGAGCACACCGTGTCGCTGCTCATTTCGTGCGATCCCACCGTGACCGCGCACAGCTCCATGCAGAACCAGAGCTTCGCGCACCTGGCCCGGCTTCGCGAGCTAGAGCTCGACTCGTGCAAGCTGACCGTGTGGCCCGCGTACACGCTCACCGGGCTCCACGACCTCCGCAACCTGACCTTGCGCACCGGTTTGTCCGATTGGCCGGATCACGCGGACACCACCCTGGAGATCGCGGCCGGCAGCTTCGCGCACACCGGTCGCCTGGAGCGGCTCGACCTGAGCACCAATAACCTGGCCGCGGTGCCCGTCAACACGTTCTGCCAGCTGCCCAACCTAGTGCACCTGAACCTTAGCCGGAATCGCGTGCAAGACGTGGCCGACCTGGGCTTCAGGGAACGGGCGCCGCCACCGCCGCCGCCACCGCAGCCGCTGATCGCCGGCCACGACGACGACCACGTGTACGACACGGATCCGTACCAGCGGCGCTCGGCTACCGCCTCGGGTCCGTGTCCGCTGGACGTGCGAACCGTGGACGTATCGTGGAACCGCATCGGCCATTTGCCGACCAACGGTTTCGGCTCGTTGCGGCGGCTCGCCGAGCTCCGGATGGCCGGCAACGAGATCGCCGTGGTCAACGATCGGCCGCTCGCCGGCCTCGCCAGCCTCGAGGTGCTCGACATGTCCTGCAACCGCATCGTGTCGCTGCCTGTGGACATGTTCAAGGATGTGGCCGACACCATCAAGCAGATCTACCTGCAGAACAACTCGATTGGCGCGCTCACGCCCGCGCTCTTCGTCAACCTTTACCAGCTGACTACGTTGGACCTGTCTTTCAATCAGCTGACCAGCGACTGGATCGATGCATCCACGTTTACCGGACTTATCCGGTTGGTCACGTTGAACCTGTCCAACAACAGGATAACCAAACTGGACCCGACCATGTTCCACGACCTGTATACGCTGCAAATACTTAACCTGGGCGGCAATCTGATCGACTCGGTGCCGAACGACGCTTTCATACCGCTCCGGAATCTCGACACATTGGTGCTGTCCAACAACCGGATCGTCGAAATCGGCCCGCTGGCGCTCAACGGGCTGTACGCGCTCACGTTGCTCTCGTTGGATGGCAACAAGCTAGCGGACGTTCACGAGGACTGCTTCAAGAATTGCACCACGCTGCAGGACCTGAACCTGAGCGGCAACGTGTTCAGGTCGGTGCCGGCCGCGCTCCGAGAGATGAGACTGCTGAAGACCGTGGACCTGGGCGAGAACCGGATCGACTCCATCGACCCGGACTCGTTCTACGGCATGACCAACCTGTACGGGCTGAGGCTGATTGGCAACCGGCTGCGTAACCTCACGTCACATTTGTTCGACAACCTTGTGTCGTTACAGATATTAAACGTGGCGCACAACCAAATCGACTACGTGGCTCCGGACGCGTTCCACAACATGACCACCATACAAGCGATCCGGCTGGACGGGAACCGGCTGTCGTCGATGGAACGGCTGTTCCGGAACGTGACAAGCCTGTTGTGGCTGAACGCGTCGGACAACGTGCTCAACGACTTTGACTACGGCATGTTGCCGGAGCAGCTCGAGTGGCTGGATGTGCACAAGAACTACTTGACAGAGCTGTCGAACAGGAACGGCGCGACAGTACGCATCCGCACGCTGGACGTGCGGTACAATTACTTGACGTACATCGGACCGTCTTCGGTGCCAGACGCGGTGGAAATCCTGCTGATGAACGACAACCAGATCATGACGGTGGAGACCAGCACGTTCCTGGCCAAGGTGAACGTAACGCGGGTGGACATGTATGCGAACCAGATCGGGCAGCTGGACGTGAACGCCTTGCGGCTGGCACCCGTGCCGCCGGACCGGCCGCTGCCCGAGTTCTACATCGGTGGCAACCCGTTCCAGTGCGACTGCAAGATGGAGTGGTTGCAACGCGTGCACTTGCTGGAGGCCCTGCGCCAGTACCCGCGCGTCATGGACATGGGTTCGATCTACTGCAAGCTGCTGTACAACCGCGAGAATCGGTACGTGCCGCTGGCCGACATCGAGCCCGCGCAGTTCGTGTGCACATACAAGACGCATTGCTTCGCGGTGTGCCAGTGCTGCGAGTTCGACGCGTGTGACTGTGAGATGACATGCCCGGTGAACTGCACGTGCTACCACGACCAGCCGTGGTCGTCCAACATCGTGGACTGTTACTCGTCCAACTACACGCAGCTGCCGGCCAAGATCCCGATGGACGCGACCGAGGTGTACCTGGACGGCAACCTGTTCTCGCACCTGTCCAGCCACGCGCTGCTCGGCCGCAAAAACCTGCGCATACTGTTCGCCAACCACTCGGGCATACGGTCCGTGCGCAACGACACGTTCACCGGGCTGAAGCGGCTGGCCGTGCTCCACCTGGAGCACAACGCAATCGAGCGGTTTGACGGGTCCGAGTTCAACACGGTGGAGAACCTGCGCGAGCTGTACCTGCAGCACAACCGTATCGGGTACCTGAACAACATGACGTTCGAGCAGCTGCGCGGGTTGCGCGTGCTGCGGCTCGACCACAATCGGCTGCGCGACTACGACGTGTGGATACTGTCGGCCAACGCGCGGCTCGCCGATCTCCGGCTGGCCGACAACCCGTGGTCGTGCGAGTGCGAGTTCGTCCAGTCGTTCCGTCGGTTCATGATGACGGCCGTGGACGTCGCCGACGCCGGCCAAGGGCCGCGCGTCACCGACTCCGCGGCGGTCGCGTGCCATGCTGACGACGGCGCCGCGCGTGACCTGAGCATCCGCGACCAGAACGCGACCGAGTGCCGTTCGTTTTTCGGTTCGATCGTCGAGAACCGCATCGTCCGGCACGTGCTGCCCACCGCTCTGACCGCCGTGTGCGTCGTCCTGGCCCTGGTACTCGTTCTGTACCTGGCCGTCGTATACCGGCACGAGTGCCGCGCCTGGGTGTACCACAAGTGCGGGTTCCGTATTTGCCACAAGACCGTGCCGTACGAGGACGACCGCATGTTCGACGCGTATGTCGCGTACAGCATCAAGGATGACGGGTTCGTCGCTCAGATGTTGGCGCCCGGGCTCGAGCAGGGCGACCCCAGGTACCGGGTGGGTCTGCACTACCGTGACTTCAACGTCAGCTCGTTCGTGGCCGACACCATCGTTGAGGCCATCGAGTCGTCCAAGCGCACCATTCTGGTCGTATCCAAGAACTTCGTAGAATCCGAGTGGTGCCGGTTCGAGTTCAAGTCCGCACTGCATGAGGGCCTCAAGGACAAGCACGGGCGCCTGATCGTCGTCACCCTCGGTGAGATACAGCCTAAGGACGTCGACCCGGAGCTCAGATCGTACATGAAGAACGCAGTGCACGTCAACTGGGGCGACCGCATGTTCTGGGAGAAGCTCAAGTTCGCTATGCCGGACGTGATCAAGTGCCAGAGCTTGATATCCCGGTCCCGGAACGGCGTCAACATATACGCCACGCCACTAAGGACGTCCTACTCGTTCGCCACCCAACCGCCCAGGACCGCGGCTGACGCCGCTTCGGTGCAGTCCAGCAAGTATTACCTATCACCGGCCTACGTGGATTCTTCGCAGCACCTTTGGGCGTAATCCGCAGTAGCCAGGTAACGTTAATTTCCTTTCGCTTAACGTACGGTAAATTGGTGGCAGATCTGTTGAAAATCTGCCTCGTTTTCGGGATTAGAATATAATATTATACCGATGTAATGTTATGCGCCCGTAACGGATCAAAACACGACATAATTACTACGGATCGCTTGTTATATATGAAATTACGTTCTTCTTTGGAAGAAAAAAAAGAAAAATGTACGTATAATGTAAATTATAATATTATTACTATACGTGGTGCAGTGGATATTGTGTGTGTAGATCTTTTGAAAAAAAAAATAACCTAATAACAAATACGCAGGATTATCATCTCAGAAACGATCTTTAACACACGGTACCGCGGTAAACATGTTTCGTGTAACCGAATCTCATTACGTGTATCGTTCTTTGCCAGAGGTCCAATCGTATATTAGACGTGTATAACAGCCGGTTGACAGAAAAGATAATCATCGTGGAGTATAATGATTTTCCAAATGCGAGCTGAATCATTTTTTCTTTCCCTTCGCACTCCGATATGTTAAACCGAGTATTAATAATTCTCCGTGTATATTATACATATTGTATATGTTATACTTGTATAGAATAAAAAAAAAAAATGATTTTATGAATGGCGTATCAAAGACAATTTAATAACATACATAAAAATACTCGAGGCGTGACGGTCAAATATATTTAAAACAAGTCGAGATTTCTCTCTTCTGTCGCACACTGTATACTAAATTTTACTACTATGGTCCACGTACGTCAAGATTACTCCGGCTCGTATTATTTCGGACTTGTCGTTTCCACAATAATGTGGATAATTAATCCACTACACGAAGAAAAGTAATATAACCGTAATACAATACACTCGTTAAAGTTATTAATAATAAACTCATCACCATCGGCGTAAATATGCCGGACGGCTCCTCTAGTCACTCGTTATACAATATCATTATAATAATATATTGACATTTAAATGGACGTAAACACAATGTATTACGCACAGCCACGAATTAAATTAGTAACTTTTATCGTCCGACAATGCTTTTATGAAGCTCTTTTTAAAAAAAAAATCACATTTATAAATATATATGTATATAATTTTTGTTAATTTGCATTTACCACTATAAAAGGTTCTTTACCATTTGACACCCTCCGGCGAAGCGTTTATCTACCTCTGCGCGGAAAAAAAGAGCCTTTTATGATTTTTTTTTTTTTTTCATTACATTTTAAATATACTTTTACGTGTGAATGGATGTTAATTTCAGCCGTTTGGGGCCTCTTGACATTGTCGTTTGTTGTTGTTATTTTTTTTATTCTTGTCGTCAAAAGACGTCAAGAAAACATTTATGTCGATTTTCAGCCCGTAAAAAATACACGCATTCTTACAATCCGTCCGAAATGTAGAAATACAAATTACTTTTTAATTTGAAACTTGTAAACCAGTTGTAAAGCTTAATAATAACTATGAGTTTCGAAAACAAAACAATGTCTGGCTCGCCAGTATAACGAGTTTGTTTTCGCCTCGGGTGACCTGCATTTAGAATAAAAACTGTAAAATACAAAACGCCACGAAATCCCATTATTTCTGATCATTTATTTTTTCTACTTCATTAAATTTTGTGAACTACATGCGTCCTTACACATTGTTGGTACCGTTCTTTTTTTTTTTTCATACAAAGATTTCATTAGCTCGTGTTCGAAGTGTGTACGTCCTTGCACAAACTTCTGCCGTTTAATTTTTTTACTTTATAAACTGTGTTTAAAAGAGTATATATATACATACTATTTAATATTATATAATACCACCGTTATTATTGTATGTTTTTTACCTCCAAAATTAAAATGTACCCTCAGTTTTTGGCGTCTTTTCGCCCTAATACGTAACATCTGCTCGGCAGCAATGCTGTTTCCCATCTGCCCTGTTGTGAATTCATATTCACCCCACCCGGTGAGTGTGTGTGTGTATAAATGTATGTGTGAGTGTTTATGTATACACTGAGAAATTCAATCTCGACACCTTAGCCCATTCGATAATTAACCCTCTGATATTACAAACTGCACGAGGGGACGGTGCAGACTTGTGAGCGTTACACGGTATATAGTTTCAGTAAACACATAACATTAGTTTTGAAAATAATCTCTAAGTCACTTTAATTCTATAGTGCAACATGGCGCCGAAGAACATTCCTCTCGCACTGAAAACATTTGTAAAAGTTGCAATTTGTAGGATTATGATAAGTATATTGTTTTTTTTTTTTTAAGTTACCTTGTCTATAAATAGTACATTGTTCAAAGACCGAAAGGGTACAAATAACATTTTCGACAAACTAATGTTTTTTGATTTTGTCCTGGACTCGTATATTTAATTATTGAATTATCTGCGTACAGTTCTCGAATATTATTACATTTAAGTAGTATTATAAATTCATTACATTTTTATCAAACGCCAAATAAGATTTATATTTTCTCCTTGAATAGAAAAAGTTCAATTATTAATCCTATGCAAATTTTGATTGAGCCGTAAATAAAATATACACACATTTTTAATAGAATTACGAAACCAATTTGCAGAGTTTCAACAAAAGTTTTTAATATTTAAAATAAATGTTTACGTTTCATTCATTTTCATTCTTACAAAATGTATATCTATCTTCACCCCACTATTTCTCTCTTTTTTGTATTCAAATTTGCATACGTCATAATAAGATAAGGTTTTTTATTATACTGTAGTATTGAAATAGTGTATTTTGGTAATTTATTTATTAATTTTTTTTTTTATTATTATTATTTTTTTTTTTTAGAAAAAACTCGTTTCAATTCAAAACGATAAAATTAAATAACATATTATTAAGTTCATAAAACGCATAATATCAAAACTCAATATTTTTTTCAGGAATAATAATAAACAAAAAAAAAAAAAGATACTATGTTATGTGTGTTTAGTATATTATTTTAAGGCCTATAAATCAAATTTTTAATTACGAGTACGTGGTATAAACAATACACTACAGTGAGGCAGTTGACGTGATATTAATTATGAACATCCTAACCGTGTTTACGATTCGGTCCAATTTAACAATGAAACCAAAGTCGCGCCTACGATCATATGAAAAAAAGAATAAACAAAACGCATATGATGTGTAGATAATAGCAATAGTACCTATCTATTTAAGTATCAACGTAAGTCGACAAATTGCGATGTGATCCGCGATGCCGAGAAGATCTCTTGTAAGATTTTTATTATCATTATTATTATTGTTTCATATTGTTTACACGAATACGTCGTGTCTCGTCAAGTCTGTTATCGGTACTGGTTTTTTTTTATTTATTATTTTTTTTTCCACGCGAGCGAAACCACCCGTGCCACCACCGTGTAATCGATATCGAGAAATATTGACGTCTGACGGATACACGAAATACCATTTTTATTTAATTTTATTTATTTTTTCTAACGGTCGGCCGAACTCGTACAATTTCCAGTATACATTTTATTTTATTATTTTATATGGTGGTGGGCGGCACATTGGTTGCGCACGAGAGGGGGTGCACGATCGTACATAGTAGTGTATGAATGTCGACAAAGTTTAGCTATTTATTTTTTTTTCCGTATTTCGCGGGGTAAGAACGAAAAAAATATAAATGTACGCACTGTCCCAACAGAGACTTTAAAAGCGGGGAAAGAAAACCAATCGGTATCGATTTAGCTACACACTCTGCTGCTGCCCTGGAACGCTCGTATATTCCATTCGCGTATAATTCCGTTAACGTTCATGAAATCGACTTATCGTCCCAGTGGACATGGCCAACGGCACAGTGTACACGCATCCGAATAGCGTTTTCGTCACAGTAAAATTTCGATAAGTTTTTAACGGTGGTTTTTTTTTCTCCAAAAGTGTACTGACTAATGTTTTCGCGAATATTTACATTGTTAATTATTATTAGTTATGCAAACGCACGTGCGTGTTGTAACGTATCTGGGTTGCGATGTTTTGTGTACGAAACGCGATATTAGCATGTACGGATGTATGTCAGGGGTTCGTATAATCGAAAAAAAAAAAATAAAAAAATAAAATCTAACGTTCAGCTGTTCTCGTTTCTAGTGCTCGCACCGTATACCTATCACTGAAAAATCGATACCTCTTTATTAAACGAAAAGTATGGGTACACATATATTATACGTAATACGTATATTATCATTAAAAACTTAATATGATGGTCATTAATTGTCACCAACAATGGATGTGGAAGGGGGAACAAACACACCTATAGATCCACGCCACTACATGTACTCCTATTGATTCGTAGAGGCGGGTTCTGACGTAAACAGTGAGTTGAAAAATTAAATTAAAATCGTTTGAAATCATTTTAAATTCAATTTGAACATATCGTGAATCGATTTATTCCCTTATAATATAAACATTTTCCTTATAACACTTCATAATACTCGAATTGAATAATGAATAGCACATACTTTTGACCCACAAAACGAAAAGCAGTTTTAGACAAATTTAGTGATTTAATGGGTCCGATGATGGTATACTGTTGCGTATTTTAGAAACCCAAAAATGAATATAAACCTACTCGCAATAAATCGCAATTCCGTCTCAAACATCAGTATAAGAAATTCACCTTTCAAAAACATAACATGTACTGTTCGAGAGTTTTTTTTCATTTATACAGCGTCTTTATCAGCTGAATATAGAAATATTGTATGACATGGAGGTATATTGAATCCGAAAATGACAATATTATCATGTCAAAATACAATGCACCATTGATTTAAAAAAAATCTTTATCAATTATAATTGCGAAAGTTAATTGGGTGATCTGAAATATTCGAATCTAAAAACGAAAAGCGTTGTCCCCGTTTACATATCTTGATTGGACGAATAGCGCGTACTTATGCGAAAGTATCCTCTTTAGCGTGAATATTACATTTTGTAATATTATAATTTATTCTCGTTACGGAATTTTTAAATATTCTCTCGCGTGTACACACTTCACCGATCAA